CTGACTTGAGGCAAGGACCACCGTTATTTACACTCCATGAGAAGAGACGCATCTGGAAAGAAGCTGGAGAGTCAGTGGCAAAGACACCGGGGCAGAAGGCCAAGGACTACACAGAACCCATCTGGTACTGAGGTTTAAATCAAATGAAAGTGATAGAGGAAGGTTTGCTGCACTGGGGAAAGATAACATCCGGAGCTGTGTGACCCCAATGACAATGCCACCTAGTTGAAGATTGGGCAGCTATTCCTTATACCACAGAAGGAAGGAAGGAAGGAAGGAAGGAAGGAAGGAAGGAAGGAAGGAAGGAAGGAAGGAAGGGAAAAAACAGAAGGTAAAGTTATGGACAGTGGTCAGAGTGGCATAGTAGTAACAATAAAACACATGCACACATTTAGAGTAACAGAACAATCAGGACACAAAATAATGTTCGTAAGTTCTTATGTCCAATAGGGAAGCTACCAGTTAGATGTGTGTAATGCATGATAATGTTCCCATGAAAGTATGTGTACATGCGTGTCTTTGAAGGAGTCCAACCTCAGTGATCGGTTTTATAGGTGATTTTATATTAAAAATAATTCCTGGGGCTGGAGAAATGCTCAGTGGTTAAGAGCACTGGCTGCTCTCTTGGATGACCACAGTTCCTTTCTCAGCACTCCAGCTCCAGGGGATCCTACACCTCTGACAACAGACACTGCACTCATCTACACACACGCACACACGCATGCACACACACACACATGTATATGTGTATGTCTATATGTATATAGACATATACACACCCATACAAATAATTTACAGTAATATAAATAAAGCTTCCCATACTTTTCAACAGTCGTTTACAAAAAAAAAATCTCCTGCCACATCACTAAGTCTTATCTTACAGTCATTGGTTTGTAAAGGCTTCCTTAAAGGTAGTACACAGCTTTGTGAACTGCTTCCAGAGTGGGAAGAAGGGACTGTTGGTCAAGTCCATCTGTGTTACTGTAGAAAAGTCCCCATTTTATAGACCACTAGAAAGGATAGAGCCTGGCACTGCTGTTCACTGGATCTGTGACAGAGAAACCTGGACATTTCAGAGCCTACGTGAGATACCTTCAGGTGGGGGAGCAACATCCACCCTACAGGCTCATTTGACAGTTCTCAGGATAGTCCCCAGCCATGCAGACAGACCTGTGAATGGTTCCTAGAGTAGACAGAGACCCCTTACACAATGTCGCACCTTTTGGCACCTGGTGGAGCACCCTATTCCAAATAATGCCCATTTTTTGCCACTTTCACTGAGCTCCTGTTAGTCTGTGATAGGCTCACCAGTGTCCGGTGCAGCAATTTGTCACTGCAGCTTCCTCCAACAGCACCCGACCTTCCCTTCCCCAGAGACAGAGCAGATTCGTGCAACAGAACCCAGAGCAGAGTCAGGAGAAGGATGTGTGCAAGTTCTTTGTTCTACAGCCACGTCAGAGCACAGGCATATAGAAGTAGCTCTCCCAAGGAAGAGCACAGAAACCAGACTGCTGGAGACTCAGAATGAGAACACAGAGAACTATGAGCACCACTGCTTTCGGCCTCTCAAGGTTGCTTTTGTTGAAACTTTTGAGGAGATCCATTCAAATTCTAATATTCTATAATTGTAAATATGCCGGAAACCACCGAAATAGGAGGGGATTATAGGGTAGAACACACAGTATAATTAACTGTAATTACCTCCCTAAAAGCTGCTTCCAAACACATTATACTGAAAAGGGGCTGGGGGTGGGGGAACTGGACAGAGCTTCACCCTAAGCATCTGGAGGTGGGGGTACAATTCAGTCCACGTCACAGCCTCCCAGTCTTCCCTAACTGGTTTCAGGTCAGGAGATCCAACATTTGTAAGTGATGCTATCACCACTGGTAGCCCTGAACTTTTCCACCTGCTCTCACCATGACACTCTACCTGAGATCAACTGAGATTAAAACTTAGCTTGAATCTTCAGAGTGGTTCCTTCCCTCTTACAGTGTGAAGAGGCCATAAGCCAGGATGGGAACCATGGTCCCTCAAGAGGACTGTTGTGAGACTGACTCTTGTGACTATTGAGAACTTCAGTTCTGAAAGGTTTCCTACCACCACGGCTACTAAGATGGATGTGCTAAAATTACCTGCGCAGATATGGTGCTGCATTCTTGACACTTGGGTTCAAAAGGATCTGCACCGACTGTGGTCATGGCTGAATGGGAATCACGGAACTCCAAGCTTGGCTCACTGCATAGGATGCATGCAGGGCAGTCAGTACCACAGAAAATGAATGGTTGACATTTTCCCAAGGAAAAAAAAAAATCTAGAGTGAGATGACTAATTGTGCAAATTCTATCAAACCTCTTGCAACGGATAACGCAAATCCTTTACAATCTCAGAAAAAAAATTAGGAAATATGCTTGGATCACTCTGAGATGCCTCTATAGTCAGACACACAGGGACTCATCATGTCAGCAGTTTCTACACCAGATCCAGCACTTGTCAAAAGGCAACCAACAGTTAATGCCTCAAACAGATGCAAAGGTCTTCTCGCCAATTCCTATCCTAGGACTCCACGACAGTCTATGTACAAGTAAGCCACCTTCAACTCCAAAAGAGCTCTAGGAATCATTCACCTCCCCTCTTGTACTGAAGGTGAAGAACAAAGATGAAAAGAGCATGTAAAACTGTATTCACGGAGTACGTGAGGCCATATGTAGAAAATCCCATGAACTCACAGAACATTAAAAAACCCACTGAAGCCGGACGGTGGTGGTGCACGCCTTTAATCCCAGCACTCAGGAGGCAGAGGCAGTCGGATCTCTGTGAGTTCAAGCCCGGGCTGGACCGACAGCCTCCAAAACAATACAGAGAAACCCTGTCTCGTAAAACCAATAAAAAAAAAAGAAATATGAGCTAAACGAACTATTCTCTTTTATTTTTTTTTTGTCTTTGTTTTTCAAGACAGGGTTTCTCTTTCTAACAGCCTTGGCTGTCCTGGAACTTGCTTTGTAAACCAGGCTGGCCTCAAACTCTCAGGAGATCAGCACTGTGCCCAGCTATAAACTACTCTCTAAAGTAACCCACCTCAGACACTTTGTTATAGCAACAGAGATCTAATACACACCTGTAGTCCAGTTCCTAACAGAAATTATTTCAGTATAACCAAGAGAGTAAAGAAACGCCTAACAGAGATACTCAGATAATTTTGCAAAGTCTTTTCCAAACTAAGCCCTACTACTATTACTAGTAATAATAATAATAATGATGGTGTTTGAAATTTAGCAAAAAATAAAACACTCAAGCCAGGCATAGTGGCTCGTGCCTTTAATCCCAGCACTTGGCAGGTGGATCCCTGTGAGTTCAAGACCAGCCTGATCTACATAGTGAGTTACCAGAGAGTTGTCTGGCTACATAGTGACACCATGGGGGAGGGGGAATACCAACACCACACTCAGTACTGAATTGCTGTCTGAATCTTTGTATTGTCTCTTCCAACAACATTAGATTTTTAGTAAATCACTGACAATTCTATTATGTCTCCTGTGAGAATTCTTTCATATTAAAAAGTTAGCTAATCAGAAACCACAAACAGGAACAGTGAATATGCATATCATAAAGTACACTGAGATTTTTAAGGAGTATTTCAGGCTGAATTCTAGCCTGAATTGAGGCCCTACTGCCACTTCTTTTGAGGTTCCATCCCCCATGTGAGATGCCTTGGGGCCTCTCTGTGGCCTAGGCAACCCATCCAACTTCCTACTGGCCAGGCTGGCCTCCCTGAAGTTGGCTTTATAAATACTAGATTTGTGTAATTGTTGCTGGAACTATTTGCGGAAATATGGAAGCAGTTAGGATCCCCATTCATTTTAAAATGTGCACACAGCTTCACATGGGCAGCAACAAACCCGCCACGGCCACCCAAAGCAATACTTTTTGTTGTTGTCGTTCAGAATAGGGCTGGAGAGCTAGCTCAGTGGGTAATGTGCTTGCCACACAAGAACGAGGACAAGTTCTAGACCCAGAATGCATGCTTGTTGCTTTGGATTTTGTTGCTGTTTTGGTTTTTTGTTTTGTTTTGTTTTTTGGGGTGTGTGTGTGTGTGTGTGTGTGCATGTAAGTTTAAGGTTTTAAGCGTGTACCACACACTTGTGATCTGAGCACTGGGGAGTCAGAGAAAGGCAGAACCCTAGGGCTTGCAAAGTCTGGTGAACTTCGGGGCCACATGTGGGAGGCGGGGCAGGGGACAAGGGGGTAAAGGGCTGAAAACACCTCTGGCCTACACACACACACACAAAACCAGCCAGTTCTTCACTTGTGAGCTAACAGAGGTCCTTCTTGGGACATGCCCATCGTCCAACACTCCCTCCAAGACCAACCACCTAACAACTGAACAAAAAAGACTGCACACTGTACCCCTAAACCCTCTCGGCTTTGAATGGCCTGGGCCTGTCACTCATGCAGCTGTGGGAAGGCGTCCACGGGGACCCTGGGCCAGACTGGTCCAAAGGATGCCGGGCAAAGAGCTTCACCTTTGCTATGGTCCTTTCAAACGCACCTGGGGCTGCGCTGAACCCCCCCGCAAAGAGGATTTGTGGGAAAACACAGAAAGAAAAGATAACGGGGAGGACACCCAACTAGCTCCGTGGCAGCCGAATCAACATTCAGTAGGAATCTCAGGCCCCGCCCCTCACTGCATACTCCGCCCCCTCTCCGGCTCCCCTGCAATCTGGATCCGCCCCCTGAAGTCGACCCGGCTCGCGCAGGGTGAGGGTTTCCGTGTGGTCACGCCCATCGCAGTCTTGCCTTGGCCAAGCGGGAGCCAACTCCCGCTTAACCACGCCCCTCGCGGTCGGCCCCACCTCCCACCTGGCTCCGACCCCGCCTCCTACCCTGTCCAGGCCCCGCCTCCCGCGCAGGCCTCCCACCCCCTCCCCCCCGCCTCCTCTCAGGTTATGGCCCCGCCTCTTTCCGGCCCCGCCTCCCGCCGCAGCCCACCGTGGCTTCTCACCTTCCCGCCTCAGACTCCCTCACCGCGCCCTGCGGGACCGCGGTTCGTCCGCGGTAGAGGCTCGTTCTCGCGAGCCTTCCCTGTCCCAGCGGGAAGTGGCGGCCTCCACGGGTGGTCCTCGCCCCACAGAGCCTGCCTCAGCAGAATGGGCGGCCAGGAGCCGCCGCCCGGCTTCTGCGGCTTGAACACTTGGCGTGGCCTCCTCACGGTGGCTGTCTGGTTTTGACGTGTTTGGAATTTTCCCGCGGCCGCCGGGGAGTGGGGCGGCGTGCGCGCGCACGCACGGACGCACGCACCCGCAGGGCCCGCTGGGATCGGGCGCGCTCCCGCGACGCGACGGGACGCAGAGCCGCCGGATCTCGGGGCGGATGTAGGTGGGGAGGCCGAGCTATGCCTGTCCCGCCGCGCCGGGCAAGCTAATGCTTAGGACGGCAGAGCGCCCTGGGAGAGCTTGAGAGCAAGGAGTTTCCAAGATGGGGCAAACCCTGCGCGGGGAGGGCCCGGCCTGCGGCTTCCTAGAGTGGGCCCAGCAAGAAGGAGTTTTTATTTTTATTTTTTTGCTTAGCGATCGCCCCGTCCCCAGGCACGCACCCTGCCTGTTTCAGGTGCAGATCGTTTCGAAGTCGCATTTCAGACGCCTGAGCGGAAACCTTTTATTCTTAAATTTTATTTTTTTATTTATTTTTAGCATCACGGCAATTTGGGGGAGTCAGTTTTCACTAATGTGGATCGCTAGGCTTGGTGGCAGGTGCTTTTAACCGCGGAGCCATTTCACTGGCCCCCTTTTAAATATATATATATTCCAATTTAGAGCTGCATGAAGGTGTTTCACAGATGCTTAAATTTGGAGAGGAAGAGTGGATAAAGCCCTAGTTGAATCAGTGCCTCAGAACCATCATCAGTCATAATCACGAGGACAAAACTTCGAGTGTGTTTTAAAAATAAAAACTTGAATGGGTGCGTGTAATTTACTTAAGTACTCAAATATTACGAAGACATAGCCATCACACCGGTGAACAAATCCAAAGAAAGCAAGTGATCCCAAGGTTTTAAAGCTTATAAATTACAAAATGAGTATGCTGAGTAGTAGTGACAGGTTTGTTTTTTGTTGTTGTTTTGTTTTTGTTTTGTTTTAATTAAGGGAGAGGGTCTGGAGATGACTCAGCGGTTAAAAGCATTGGTTGCTCTTCCAGGGGGCCTGAATTTGAGTCACAGAGTTCACATGGCAGCTCCCAACCATCGGCAAGCCCTGTCCAAAGGACCTGATGCCTTTTTTATGGTCTCCCTGGATGCCACATTGTGCAGACATCCATAAGACATATAACAGGGGGCTGGAGAGATGGCTCAGAGGTCAAGAGCAATGACTGGTCTTCCAGAGGTCCTGAGTTCAATTCCCAGCAATCACATGGTGGCTCACAACCATCTACAAGTCAATCAGGTGTCCTCTTCTGGCTTATAGGCAGAACACTGTATACTAAACAAATAAATAAATCTTTTAAAAAAAAAGACATATAACAATTTTTAAAAAATTAAAAGGAAGACACCAGAGGAAACTAATCCAAAATTAACAGGTTCTGCTTTACAGAATCAAGTGGTTAGCTATTTTTTGGACTTCCCCGAGGCTTGTGCTTTTTTGACTTGTCATTTTAGTCTAATCTCACAGCATGTGTGAGACAAGTATAAGTAACACCTGGCCTTGAAAAAGTCTTACAGTGACAAATTGTAAAATTTTTGTTAGTCCTTGTATTTACTTTTTCGTACTCAGGTATTTGTTTTACATACTTGCAAAAAAAAAGTCACTCTTGACATACTGTGATTTTATGTCAATTTAGTAGTTAATTAAGAATTACTGGGCGCCGGGCGTTGGTGGCGCACGCCTTTAATCCCAGCACTCGGAGGCAGAGGCAGGCAGATCTCTGTGAGTTCGAGGCCAGGCTGGACCGACAGCCTCCAAAACAGAGAAACCCTGTCTCGTAAAAAACCAAAAAAAAAAAAAAAAAAAAAAAAAAAAAAGAATTACTGGGCATAGCCAGTGATGGCACACACCTTTAATCCCAGTACGGATCTCTGAGTTCAAAATCAGCCTAGTCTACAGAGTTCCAGGACAGCCAATACTACACAGAAAACCCTGTCAAAAAAAAAATTACTGGGCTATGAAACTTTAGTATGCAAAGTCACGCTATGTTTAGGCCTAATTTAGACTAAATGGGAAGCATATATAAAGTTGCAATTTTAAATTCATGGATTTTCATAGGCATTCATTCTATGCAGCATCCATATGTATAAAGCTGTTCTCACTAATTAGTTTTAGCAGTAGTGAGAAGGCCACCTTGTGATACATCCAATGTGCTTCCTGAAAAACAAATACTTAAGTACAAATCCTATTTTTGAATCATAGCAAAAACTGAGTATGGGTTTTTTGAAAATAGTTTGGATTGTGGTATAAGAGAGTAACACAAATACTGTGGCAAAATGACAGATTCAGACAAAATGTGTAAGAACTTTTAAGTTTTTACATTCAAGAGAGAAAATGGAAAAAAAAAAAGCCAGCAGTTGAAGGCTACAAAATTGCTGCCTTAGTCAAACCTTCCTTCAAATTTCAGGGAACGCATAGAAACACCTGTCTTGGACTCCATATTGTGAGCAGAATTGTAACTCACTTGCACAGTGGGTTAAGGTACACACCTAGCTCCCACACGAGAGTGGGCACCTGCACACTGTCTTGATCATGGCTGTGACAGTCTATGCCTTTGATGTGGCAAGTATATCTCATGTGTTTAATAGTTTTGCCCTTGGTACTTCAAATGTATCCCAAGTACTGGGTAGATCACTGGCCTTGCATTCATTCCTTTAAGCCTCACATTGATCGTACGTGGTACATAGTATTTCTGCTTCACAGGCTGATAGCCAGATGCACAGAGCTGTGTTCTCTAGCAGGTGTCAGAACCAAGCTTCAAAAGCAGGTCAGTTGCCTTTTTAACTACTTGCTAAGTGCCGGCTCACCCCTTAAGCTAGCCAAGGAGAAAGTGGGAGCTGGGGACATGTGACCCAAGAGGCTTTTATACAATGCACTAACTACATTACTCCCACTTTTTATTTTGGCTGAGGAAATATACACTGAATTAGAGAAGAAAACCACATGAACAGCACGTGCCAAAGAAAAGCTTCAAGAGATGCATGCAGCAAGTGATGAAGGCTTGATCACTGTCCAGATACTAAGGAAGAGTGGGCTACAGGAGTTGTGGGAAAGGGTAGTCCTTCTCTGCAGATATACCCACATACCACTCCCTGGCCTCTGTTTGAAGAATACACTTAGGTATCCACATACACAGACGTCTATCTGTTGTGGCCTCACAGTCTCAAATTTGTGATGGCACCAAGGCATGACCAGCAGACACTGTAATTTGAAAGTGGGATTCCCAAGCAGGACCCACTTTGGATTTTATCTTTTCCAGGCTAGGGACACCCAGTAGTCCTCTCTGGTGATGCTGGAAACGGCTGCACGAGTTACTAGGAACCACACAGTCACAAGGGGAGACAGCTGGCGTTATACATATACAGGGTGCCGTGTTGCTGAGCTGCAGTGTTGAGTAGGTCAGGTATGTTACACATATTTTGATATGTGATCACTTCTGTTTACAGGGGGCTATATCAGAAAGGAATATCTTCATAAGTAGAGTCTGTGCTACTAGAAGAATACCATTCAAGTGCAGGAGAGTCTATACCGTGCACACTTGCCACAGTTAATGGAATGGTGTGGAAACCTAACTCTAACTGACCCATTGGAACCATTCCTGCAGAATCTGGGATCACTAAGTCCTTCTGCATACTCAAGTCAGAGAGCAGGGTGAAACTATGTTAGAAGCAAAGAAAGCTGACTGAAAGAAAAGACAGGAAGTTGAAAGAATATGTTGCATGAAGGACACTGTAGCTTTCATTTTTCAACTTTCCAATTTTAAGACCAATATTTTGGGGGGGTGGGGGACAGGGTCTCACTATGTAGCTCTGGCTGTCCTGGAACTCACTCTGTAGACCAGGTGGTCCTCAAACTCACAGAGATCTGTCTGCCTTTGCATCTGCATGCAGTTAAAGGTGTGTACCACCACACCAAGCCTTTTAAAACTAGTTTATGTGCATTGGTGTTTTGCCTGCATGTATGTCTGTATGAGGGTGTCAGGACCCCTGAAACTAGAGTCATAGTTGTGAGCTGCCTGCCATGTGGGTGTTAGGAATTGAACCTGGGTCCTCTGGAAGAGCAGCCAGTGCTCCTAACCACTAAGCCATCTCTCCAGCCCCCCCACACCCAGCCTTTTAAGGCCAGTTTAAGCCAAGCTAACTCTAGTATTGTTTTGTGTTCTTAGCTGTCCACACAGTTTTCCATATGCTTGTAATCATCATGCCTTTCCTTAGCTGACTGCAATGACAAACTACCTGGAGTTAGATAACTCTTTGGGTGTCTCTGGGTGTTAGCAATCTGGCCAGCCCTGCTTTGTACGTTAACCGTGGGTTGCCCAGTGAAAGCCAACTAACTGTAGGGGAAGCAACAAAACTGTAATAAGAGCACAGCATAAAAGTTTTACATTTCACATGACATTGGCACCCAAGGAAGCAACGAACCCTGGGAATCTTTATGCTAGTTTTGGTGAAAAATGGACAGTTTGGGGAGAGAGAATTAGACAGAGAATATAATCTGCTAGTCATGAACTAAGGGGCATTAGCAAGGTCTCTTCCGTGCCTTTCTGTATCCCTGTGTCTTCAGAGAGAAAGTTGTTCCTTTGTCCATGTCTTGGGCAGCCACTTCTTACATGAGGGTCTCAGAACCTATTTTAGAAGTTTAGAAAATTCTTCCTAGGTTGTATGACCTGTTTCAGAGGAAGAAATCACAACCTTTCAGCTTTTCCTAGTACTGGATGCCAGTAACCACGGAAGCTGCCTGCTTTGACTAACAATAAAGAAAAAATAAGTTTCTGTTTTGTTGAAATGAGTATTATTTTAAATGCCTGTAGCTTGCTACAATACAAAGATGAAGCACTATAATAAAGTCAGATTTCTATGGTTAAAGAAAACCTGTGCCCTCTGCCTTAAGCTTGGTCTAGAGAAAGGAACTTCAAGTTCGTGAATAGCTTCTTTTCCCACAGAGCCCATCAGTGGATACATGGTTGCTACAAGAGACTATCCAAGAGTAGCAAACATCATTTTAAAACCTGTGGGGGGCAGGGGGTTGGTGGTGAACGCCTTTAATCCCAGCACTCGGGAGGCAGAGGCAGG